ATCAATTTACATTTACGAATAAATGTAAATCCTCATAATTTATATTTAGAAATAAATGTAAATTTTCGTAATTTACATTTATTTGTAAATGTAAATTTTGCAACAAAATAATTTACATTTATAATAAATGTAAATTACTGATAATTTATATTTATTTTAAATGTAAATTGTTTACTTTTCGTAATTTATCGAATATAAATTAAAATAAATTATCATATTTCTCTATAATACTTTAAAAAAGAAATATTCTATTCTTAATATTTTATTTATGTATCATTTATTTGTTGTACTATCTCTTCATTCAATTAATAGTTCTTAATTTGCGAAAAGATCTCACCACTTATCAAGACGAGTTTTTCAAAGAAGAGTCAAATCGGACTTTACGGAGTTAGAAAATAGAAAACGCCGGAAAATGTCAATGAAAAGTTTAAAACATTTTTCACGAACTACACACTTATTAGAAATCACAAGTTGTTTTGGATAGAATGTAGTTGGAGCTTTTAGATGCAAAAGTAGTTTTTTTTCTACATGCAAAATTTTATTCCAATCTAATCAAGTCTCAGATTAATGCAAAGTTTCGGCTATTTTCACGGCTTTATTCTAGAGATGATGGCAAACAAAATTTTTAGACAACTAGAAACTGATTTCAAATGAGATAAATTAACGGTCTTCATCATTTTATCATGAAAAAATTCTCCTTATTGTCTATCCGAATTTTTCCCTTTGCTAAATTAATTCGAAATACGAATTAAACAAAATTATGACTTTGAATTAAATGTCGGTTATCATATCTGTGATGAAAAGACTCAGAGCATGACAGTATAGACCAAACAAAGAAATAATTTTATTCAGTTCCTTGGAATATAATTTTAAGTCAGTTTAGGAGAGAGAGCAATAGGTAAAAGATAAGAAAAGAAAGAGAGAACTGCTGTGAAAATCAATAGAAAATCTTATTTCAATCAGAAATAAAAGATGGGGATCCGAGCTTTCGTGTTCGGACTGAACACATCATCAGCAATGACATTATGAAAATTTTTTTTATTGTTATTAAATTAAAATCCAAATTAAATTTAAATTTAACAATAAGATAATGAAATATTACAAAATACATTGATATTGTTTATGATGTTGTTTATGTTGTTATTGTTTATGATTTTGTTAATGTTGTTGTTTGTGATGTTGTTTTTATTGTAATTATTATTCTTCCTATTTAAGATGGAACACTACCGACAATAATAACTAGAACAAGTTTTTATCTAGATAATATTCGAGAGAATATAAATACGAAATGTAAGATTGATGAAAATGAATGAAATTATACTAGACATTGTTCGAGACAATATAAACAAGAAATGTAAGATTGATGAAAATAAATGAAATTGTAGTAGATATCATTCGCGAAAATACAAATAGATAAATGAAATGATACTAGATAATATTCAAGAGAATACAAATATGAAAGGTAAGATTGATGAAATAAATGAAATTATCGTAGGCATTGTTTGAGAAAATGTAAATATGAAAGATAAATACGAAAGGTAGGATTGATGAAAATAAATGAAATTCTACTCGATATTATTTTGAGAAACATAAATAAGAAAAGTAAGATTGATAAAAATAATAAATGAAATTAGCAATGTTAATAACTCATTTGTACCTATGTGTAGGGTGTCGACCTCTGGTGTTAAGGTGGAACACTTCTCACACCATAGACTAGTATAAGTCTATACATTAGATATTGTTTACGAAAATATGAATACGAAAGGTAGAATTAATGAAAATAAATGAAACTCTACTCAATATCATTTGAGAAAATATACACAAGAACGGTAAGGTTGCTGAAAACAATCGACATTACTAATGATTAATGTTAATATCTCATTTTTATTTATGTGGAGGGTGTCGACCTTGGTGTTAAGGTGGAAAACGTCTCACAACATAAACGAGAATAAGTCTGTAAATTAGATATTGTTTAATAAAATATAAATACGAAAGGTAGGATTGATGAAAATAAATGAAACTCTACTCAATATCATTTGAGAAAATGTAAATAAGAAAAGTAAGATTGATAAAAATAAATGAAATTACTAATGATTAATGTTAATAACTGATTTTTATTAATGTGGAGGGTGTTGATCTTGGTGTTAAGGTGGAGCACTTCTCAAAACATAAACCAGAATAAGTCTGTACACTAGATATTGTTTGAGAAATTATAAATACGAAAGGTAAGATTGATGAGAAATAAATGAAATTCCATTCGATATTATCTGAGAAAATGCAAATAAGAAAGGTGAGATTGTCGAAAGCAACTGACATTACCAATGATTAATGTTGATAACTTATTTGTATTTATGTGGAGGGTGTCGACTTTGGTATCAAGGTAGAGCACTTCTCACAACATAAAACCAAATTAAATACAAGCATTCGATATTATGTTTAGAAATTGTAAGTAAGAGGGACAAGACAGATTGAATGAATATGGCTGATCTATGTTGTTAGGTCAACAGTTCATGGGTGATGTAATAATAGGATATAGGGGGTCTTACCTTACGTTCAGGAACAAACGTGATCAATTCAGGAGGGGACATGAGATCAGTTCAAATGGACTATTTATTTGAGGAAGACGAAAAAACATACACAAGTGAAGTAGTAGTGAATGCTACTGCTCTCCACCAAAACAAAATAACAACTCAACTATATCAAAATCTGAGAAAATGCTAAAGAGAGAGATAGACAGAACGAAAAAGAAAAATCTTATTATTGAACGAACGAAAGAGGAAAATCCAATTAATTACAGAACGAAAGAAAAGACACCAACAAATGAGAAAATAAGAAGGAACCAATTGAACGAAGTTCAATTAAGTTAGCGTCGACATAGTGTCATCTGTTGACGCTAACATATGTTTATAAGATTTTTTTTCTATTATTTCTTGAATGTTCTTATTTTACTGTTTTTAATGATTTTTCTTTTTTATATGATAAAAACTAACTATTGTTATTAACTTCAATGGAAATTTACAAAGTTTCGCATTTGTATTTACTCGAAATGATATCGAAGTATCAGTTGTTCATATTAATTCTAATCGATATGATGAAAAACTGAACTATCTATCCATATTTGATTATATTGAGTTTAAAGATGATAGGACAAAGAAATTTACCATGTCGCGTAGACATAGGATTTGAGTCTTGATGAAATGAAAGTGACTGTCGAAGATTAGCAAGTGTATTGTGATTAATGAGAATTGATAATTGGAGATCGTTGATGATCATTGATTTGTTGTATGGTAATGATCGTCTAATTGTTTGACAGGCTAATTGACAATGGGATATGCTTAACCTTGTTTTATCGTTGGACTGATGTCAAACACGGCCGTTTGTTTAAAGTGTATCTATAAAATAGTTGTTCTTCTTCTTCTTTTCTAGTGGTCGATTTATTGTGTTAGTTTCAGATTATTTTGAAAAATGAATGCTACTTGTGAAAACAGTTTTTACAACATATGTTCATGTAAAAAGAAATACCATTTGCCATTAACATTACCACTGTACGACGGACATTGCCATATGGATTATGTTTTAAGTATGGATTTAATCAAAATGATTTCAATATGCAACTTGCTCATGGAAGAAAAATTATTTTAATTGATAATCGTCATCAATATCAGAATAGACAATACTAACCATCTTACATAAATACATTTAGGTAAATATATCGTCTATATGATGAAGCATAATCTCGATATAATCAAATATGGATAGATAGTTTTGTTTTTGATCATATCGATTAGAATTAATATGAACAACTGATATTTCGATATCATTTCGAGTAAATATGAATAGAAAATTTTGTAAATTTTCATTGAAGTTAATAACGATAGTTAGTTTTTATCATATAAAAAAGAATAATTTTAATATGAATGAGTCTGAATAATATTGATCCATTTATGAAGTATGAACTATTGTTTCTTTTCTAATATAAATTTCAACTTACTCAATTGTCCATTTGATTAATATAGAATATCCCAAGGGGGAAAAGCTATTCGGGCATTTCCAACCATTCTCTATCATTCTCATCCATTCGCCTCCATTCCCAACGATTCACATTCATTCGCAGCCAT